TGTAATGTCCCCCATTTCATTTCTTATTTGGGTTATTTGTGTCCTCTCCTGTTTTTCTTTTGTCAGTCTGGCCAGTGGTTTGTTGATTTTGTTCATCTTTTCAAAGAACCAACTTTTGGTTTTGTTGATGCTTTCTATTGTTTTTCTATTCTCTATTTCATTTATTTCTGCTTTGATCTTTATTATTTCCTTTCTTCCGGTGGCTGTGGGCTTTTTTTGCTGCTCTCTTTCTATTTCTTCAAGTTGTGCAGTTGATGTTTTGATTTTGTCCCTTTCTTTTTTGATGTGTGCATCTGTTGCTATAAATTGCCGTCTGAGGACTGCCTTTGCTGTGTCCCAAGGGTTTTGGTATGATGTGTTTTCATTCCTGTTTGATTTTAGGAAGTTTTTGATTCTATTTATGATTTCTTCTATTACCAGTGGTTTGTAAGAGGGTGTTATTCAGTTTCCGTGTAATTGATTTTTTTTCCTTGCTCTTCCTGTTGTTAATTTCTATGTTGATGGTGATGTCAGAGAAGATACTTTGTATTATCTCAATGTTTTGGATTTTGTTGAGGGTTGCACTGTGGCCTAAGATGTGGTCTATTCTGGAGAACGTTCCATGTGTGTTGGAAAAGAATGTGTACTTTGCAGCTGTTGAATGGAGTGTTCTATATATGTCTGTGAGGTCAAGTTGTCTGATTGTGCCCTTTAGGTCTTCTGTATCTTTGTTGAGTTTCTTTCTAGATGTTCTGTCCTTTATCGAGGATGGTGTGTTAAAGTCTCCTACTATTATTGTGGAACTGTCAGTCTCTCTTTTCAGTGCTGTTAGAGTTTGTTTTATGTATTTTGGAGCCCTGTCGTTGGGTATGTAGTTGTTTATTATGGTTATGTCTTCATTATAGATCATCCCTTTAATCACTGTATAGTGTTCTTCTTTGTCTTTATGGTGGATTTTGTTTTAAAGTCTATTTTATCTGAGATTAGTGTTGCCACTCGTTAGACCACTGTTTTTATAGATGCCCTTTTTATGACGTGAGCTGACTCCCAACCTTTAAAACTTATTTTAGACAACAGGAAGAGCAGCCACATGATTTAGTTAGAAGCAGAAATAAAAAAATAGAGGGAGGGGTGAAATTAAGGGCCACAATTATGCTGCCTGGGAATATGAGTCTTACATAAACAAGAAGAGTAGAATGCTGGTTATGATGGTAGAAAATCAGTTCTCTTTGGTAATCAATTGATTGCTGTGTTAGAATGGAGATAAGAAAGCAGAGCCGTCTTCCAGTTCTTCATCTTTACTCTGGGAGCACAACAAGGACAAGGAGGAAGACAGAGCATCCTCATCTTCTGGAACCATCATTCAGGTAATGCTAGGCATATCACAGTTGTGGGGGAAGGAGGTTCTTTTTGCCCAACTTTCTGTGTTAATGTTGCTTACCCTCTTCCCCTTTTCCTTTATTTGGTTTTCAGTTGGCACTTTCCAAACCTTTAAGATACCCATCTATAGCCCAGGTTAAAAAAATAAACGTGTAATGTTTAGTAAGTCAAGGAGAAGACCCTCTTCTTGGAAAGAATGCTGAGGAAGGAAACCTGCTTGGACTGAACTGTTTAAAAGTTCCTCCTCCTTACCTCAGTACAAATGCAAAGACAGCCAGATACTTGCTTATTATTTGCATCTCTATTGTGCATTTGTTGATTATAAGGACAGTAATTTTTTTTCTGATGAAAACCCAAACTGACAAAACAGATGACTCGAAGGAACACCTGAAAGTTTCACCACAGTGTTCCCTCAAAGCACTTAACATGCTTCCCCTTGTAGAGTGGGGTAGAGATGGTCTCCCCATAATCTTTTTCTTTTTTTTGAACAAAGTAGCATATAAAATTATATGAAATGAGATTTTTGTTTTGTTTTGTTCCTTGTGACATTCTGAATCTCCAGTTTCTCAAAATAGAGAGCAAATGCCCTCACTTTAGAAAATCAGTATAAGCTGATGTTGAAAACCATGTCATACCTTTGCTCCTAAAAGGTCTCTGTATCTTCACACACCCTCTTCCTCCTGCCTCCTGTCCAGGGTTAATCCCTCCGCCCAGCTCTCAGGCTAATCCTTTCATTAATCGCTGGCACCATGCTCTGCTTGTACATATATCCTGCGTCTCTACCTCTTGAGTGGTTCCTTCCTCTACCTCAGAAGTGCTCAGGTTTTCGCATCTCTAAAATGTTTGCTCCTTCATGGCCCTGCGCCTCCAAACAAACCAACTCCCATTCCAGATCCCAGCCTATTCAATTGCTTGTCAGAAAATGCATTGCATCTCTGAGATGCCCTTTTTCCCCTATGTGCCTGTAGACTTCCTAGTGACTCTGAAATGTTCATCTTCACTTACACCTCCTCCAAGAAGCCTCCAGAGATCCTTCCAGGGAAATTACTGTCTCATTCTCTTTGTTTTCCTATAGCATTCTGAGCCTCAGTTATGACTTACTACATTTTTATGCGTGTGCCTGACTTAATTTTATGAATGGCAAGAACCTTATCTTATAGATTTCTCTATCCTGTACTGGGCTCAAAATGTTTTAATGAATTGAATTTCTTAATACTGTTTCTCGTGTCAATTATTGTGCTTCCTCTTTCATTTACTGTTAAATGTCTTTACTGGGTGCTCCACTTCATTAGCCCCTTTGGTAATCTGGTTTCTGCCCCTGGCTATTCTCAAACTGCTTTGTAATCACCATTGACCGTGGGAATGCCAATTTGTTGTCCTTTTATGCTTCTAATCCTTAGTGATCTCTCCAGCACTAGACACTATTGACCACCTCTTCCTTCTTGAAATGCAGTGTTCCGTTGACTTACTTTATTCTGCAGTTACCTGTCTCTTCTACTTCCAAATCCTCCTCCATATCCTTCTCTTGTCCCTCTTCTGTCTTTGATTGTAGGCATTCCCCTATCTTATGTCCTTTTCCTTCTTCTCTCTGTTTTCTCTCATGGAGATTTCATCTCCTCCCATAGTTTTGCTAGTCATCTCTATCCTGATTATTCTTGACTTTTACCTTAAGTCTATTCTGCATTCCTGGTAGACTTCTCTATCTGAATGTATTTTCTTCATCTCAAACCTAGTTTACCAACTTTTCCTTCAAAGCTTGCCCTTCCTCTTAATTTTTCAATGTCTGCTAAAGGCACCACTGTTTTTTTCAGAGTCTAAGATAAACTTCAGAGTCATCTTAAGTGGCTCCATTTCTCTTACTTTCCATATGCAATCAGTGGTCAGATAATGTCCATTCATTCTTTACATCCCTCTCCTCCTTTCCATTATTTTTGCCATCATCCTATTACAGGCAATTGTTCCTTCTTCCCTGCACTTTTGTAGTAGCCTTCTAATTGGTTTTAAACCTCCAGTTCTTTCTTCTAAGACATCCTGTACAGTTCATGCTAGGCCCCAGCTTAAAATCCTTCACAGAATCTCATTTTCTACTGTATAATATGCAGTCTTCTTAGTCTAGATTTCCGGACTTTTCATGATCCAAACCTACCTATACAATCTTATCTAGGCTTTACATTTGGTTCATGGTTCGTACCTTTCTGATAGCAGTTATTGTTTTTAGTAGGATCTGGAAAGGAACTAATTAACATTTTATTAGGAAGTGCTAAATAATTTATATACATCATCTTATTTTATAATCACTAGCATGAGTGAGGTTAGTTTTATTACTGCTTTAAAGATGAAGTAACTGAAACTCAGAGAGTCCAAGATCACACAGCTTATGAGTAGAGGAATCTAGATTGATTGATTACAATATTCATGCTCATTCCGCCACACTGTGTTAATTATTTGTGTACATGTCATTTTCACATTGCTTAACTAAGTTAACCTTAGAAGTAGGATTGCTGGGCCCAATTTTATATGCATTTAAAATCTGACACACACTGTTGAAATGCCCTCCAGATGACTCTACCAATTTTATTCCTACTGGTAATACATGGAAGTGCCTATTATTTCCTGATCCCAAGCTGATACTGAATATTGCCAGTTTTAGCCAGTGGTTTAAATTGCATTTATATTCGAAGAAAGTTGAGTATCTCTTCAGATGTTTATTGGCTTTTATAATTCTTCTTTTATGAATTGTTTATTCATACCATTTGACCATTTTTCTACTTAGAGATTGATATTCTGCTTACTGATTCATAACAGTAATTTATACATTAAATATATTAATAGTTTGTAAGTAGTTAACCCAGTTGGTCATTTCTCTTTTAGATTATGGTGTTTTTTGTGGTACATATTATTTTATTTTTTGTTGTCAGTTCTAACATTCTTTTACTTTATTGTCATGCTTTAAAAAGCCCTTCCCTACCCCAAGATTAAAAAACAATTGGCTCATATTTTCTTGTAGAATTTTTATGGAATAACTTTACATTTAAATATTTTGAATACATCTAGAATTCATTGTTAGCAGGTAAGGATTTAGTTACATTTTTTATAAAATGAAATGCCTGGGTGGTTTTCCCCAAATTTAATAAATTTATCCTTTTTCCCATTATTTGAAATATAGCTTTTGTCATATAGCTACTTATTATCATTATATTATTTATCATTATATATTATCTATATTTATATATTTATTATTATATATATTTAATTTGAATTCTTAAAATAACCCATTTAAGTCCACAATTCTGTTATGTTTCTGTGTGCTGCTTATTAACTAGAGAGCTTTGGAGTTTAAGTCTTTCAAATGAAGACAAACCTTCTGAGGAAATTGATTTTTTCCTAGTGAATTTTCTTCTAAATTCACCTGGCTTTTCTGGACATTTCTGCAAGTAGGCTATTTGTAAAATGAGCAGGCCTAGGAAGAATGACTGTGTGGTAGCAGAGCAGGGAGTTTTCTGGACTTCTGTTCTTATCTTTACAGAAGGCAGATGGGAGAATAAGCACATATGATGGGTCCATGGCACAAGTTCTTGCACCAGACTCACTCAGCACTGAGCAAGACCCAGAATTTTCCCTGAGCCTCAACCAAACCAAAGAGGTAAGTCCCTGTTGGTAATAAGACAACTACTCAGATATTTAGCCTAGTACCCAGAGATACTAACCTTTCTGTGTTCCGCAACACTTTGTTTGTCAAGCCAGGCGTTCCTTGTGAACTTTAACATCTTCATATGTGCAGTTGTCAAGCAGTATAACTGGAAGATTTATCATCAGATATTTACATATAAAGTAAACATGGCATAGAGCAGTTAAAGATGTTTCACTCTTTCACCATTAGTCAGGGTGAACTAATCTTTCCTTTAAAATTGACTACTTTTTTATTCTGTGGGTGTAATTGAGGGAGCGATGGAAGTGGAGGAAGGCTAATATTGATTAACTGCCTATTGCATGAGGCATTTATGTTTGTTACCTGTTTAATCCTCAGAGGTACATTATAAGGTAGATTGATACCTACCATAATTTTATACATGGGGAAATAAAAATTCAGGGAGTAGAAATATAACTAATAAAGGAGGGAGTAATGATTCAAACCCAGAATATTCCACTTTGCTCTCCTAATTTGAAATATTCTACCTCAGTGGTTCTCAAGAAGACCTCCCAGGGGGGCGTTATTTCCCAAGTTAGTTTTGGTGTTTAAAGCAACCGGTTGCAGTCAAGTAGATTCTGACCCATAGCGACCCTATAGTACAGAGTAGAACTGCCACATAGGGTTTTCAAGGAGCAGCTGGTGGACTCAAACTGCCACATGGCATAGTGGTTGAGAGCTTGGCTGCTAACCAAAAGATTGGCAGTTTGAATCTACCAGCCGCTCCTTGGAAACCATATTAGGCAGTTCTACTGTGTCTTATAGGGTCACTATGAGTCAGAATTGACTCGATGGCAACAGGTTTTGGTGTTTAGCTGGACTTAAAGTTCCCGCAATCTCCATAAGTAGCTCCTGAAGAAGGTACTGGCATGCTTTTGCTGCTCTGTCTCTCTGTTTTTTAATCATTACTTCTCTTTTCTTACATTGTGTTCTACTTATATGCATTTCCTCCCAATCTTTTCTCTATTTGTGTAAAAATTTGTATTCGCTGTCAAATTGTTACACCTCTTCAACAGTATCTGCACAGCAAGGTGAACCCCTAGCAGAGGTTTACACTCATTGACAATACTCAGGTATGAGAAGGTTTTTATTATTTTTGACACCTAATTAAAAACCAGATGTAACTTCAGTAGTGCTCTATCTATAGAAGGTATTCTGCTTAGTATTTGTTTCTCCTGATGTAGATGATCTATAGGCTCTTTTGCCCAACCATTTGGGTAATAGATAATAATGATGACAGTGATGGAAGATAATTATGACATTAATAAAATATTTACTTAACAGTTATTATTGTGTCAGGCTCTGGGATTTACATTTATTATCTCTCTGAATCCTCAACAATAGTCCTGTAAGGTGAGTACTATTCTTATCTCACTTACAGATGGAGAAATTGAAGTTCAGAGAAGTTAAACAAGTTACCCAAGGTCATACACCTAGAAAGTGGCAGAGCTAGGATTTAAACCCTTGTCTTTTTCTGCCTCTGGGTTTAGAACCTAAGCTTTTTAACTATTATGCTCCAATAACTCTCTCTTAAACTCATTTGAGTATATGCGTAGTATTTTTGCATGTACAGATTAGGTATGGCACTTTAAATAGGCAATTTGCATTTTATAAAAAGTAGAGGAGATGTGCAGGTATTTACAGAATTGAATGTAAAATATTAAGGAGTATATTTAAAGGGTTGGTATTTGAGTACAGAATGTACCTATCACCAGAAAATTCAGTTGCATTTTATTTCTTAGATCAGTGATGTGTTGATAAGGAAACTGTATTGTTGTTTCTTACGTCAGTGATGTGTTGATGTGGAAACCAAAGCAGTATGTTATTCACTAACCGAAAGGCCAGCTTGGATAGGTGAAATTATATCAAGAATGTGGACTCCTACATTCCAAAACATAGTGAAATCAGAGGCTGAATCCTGGTTCTGCTTACTGTTCTACTTACTAGATAGTTTGAATAACTTCTCAAAGCCTCGGTTTCCCCATCAGTATGCCAGAAGTAATAGTAGGCTTGCGGTGAGGAGTAATCAGGTGGTCCGTGTATCACATTTAGCACAATACCTGGCTCATAACAAGAGCCCAGTGGAAGTTACATATGATTAATTTACGGCATAATTGTCTTTAATAAGAAATACCTTCAGTAAGACTTTTTATCCCCCCAAAAATTTCAGAATAATAAAATGTCCCTTTAAATAATTTCTGCTTTTACAATTTGGATCTACCAGTTAGAGAAGATATTGACCAGGGGTGCTTTTTTGGAAAATACTGTGAAGTCAGAATTAAAAGATCGCAGGAGTTGTGTGACTTTGGGCAAGTAAGTTATGTTTGGGTCTCAGCTTCTCAGAAGGAACACGATGAAACGGGAGATGTGTAAAGTGACTAAACGTTACATGCACTTCAGTTTCTTTGACTGTAAAAAGAGATTGGTAGAATAGTCACTAATGAGTTCCCGAGACTGCTTTCACCTCTGAAGTTCTATGGTTACAAACTTTCTTTTCTCACGTTCAGCTTTGTATTCTTTTCAGGTTCAACTAACTAGCAAATAAAGTCTAGGTTAGTCATCCAGCTTCCTTGTTTCCTCAGTTTAGTGAAAGAAACTCAATACTCTCATTTGTAAGTGTGTTGTATATAATAGGTCCTTAAATAGTATTTTTTTAATAAATAAAGCACAGAAGGCAGATGGTAAATCTGTTCAGGATTATTAACTCAAGGGTCAAATAAAGGGATCCCAGAATCTTTACCACTAAAGCATAGCAATATCTGAAAGCTAGAAAACATTGAATCAGATTACTAAAAATTGGTGTCCTGCAGTAAAATCATACAACTACTGATTTTTAAAATCAAGGTTAAAAAAGAATTGAAACAAGTGAATCCAAGTATATGTGGTACTGTGTATGAAGTGCAAAGACGACACAGGAAAGGGAAGAATCTATCAAGAAGGTGATTCTTGAACAAAATTATAAAAATAGATTATTGAAAGCCAGGAAGAAGTAGCATTTTGGCAGAAAAGAGCAAATATGTGTGAAGTTAATAGATGTCAAAGGGAAGAAGTACCATCCAGAGACACTTCTGCCAAATGAATGGCATTTTCATGCCCTGTGTATTTTTTTTTTTTCTTTGTTGTACTTTAATAAAAGGTTTACAGAACAAATAGTTTCTCATTAAACAGTCAGTACACGTATTGTTTTATGACATTGGTTAACAACCCCATGACATGTCAACACTCACCCTTCTCAAGCATGGAGGACCTTTTTTTTTGGTGAAAATATACATAGCCAAAGTTACACCATTTCAAAAGTTTTTACATGTACAGTTCAGTGACATCGATTACATTCTTTCAGTTGTGCTGCTATTCTCACTATCCTTTTCCAAATTATTCCATCACCATTATCTTCAGCTCACTGCCCCCTAGGCTTCCCGTCAAACCTTTTGAGTTGCTGTTGTCAATTTGATCTCACATAATTCTTTTTTTTTTTTTGTACTTTAGAGGAAGGTTTGCAGAAGAAGTAATTTCTCATTAAACAGTACACATATTGCCCTATGACAATGGTTACATGTCAACACTGTCCCTTCTCAACCTTAAGTTCCCTGTCACCAGCTTTCCTGTCCCCTCCTGCCTTCTAGTCCTTGTTCCTGGACTGCTGTGCCTCATTAGTCCCTTTTTGTTTTATGAGGCTGTCCAGTCCCCGGCTGAACAGTGAACTTCGGGAGTGACTTCACCACTGAGCTAAAAGGGTGTCTGGGGGCCATACTCTTGGGGTTTCTCCAGTCTCCTTTAGGCCAGTAAATCTGGTCTTTTTTGTGTGTGTTAGAATTTTGTTCTACATCCTTCTCCAGCTCTGTCCAGAACCCTCTGTTGTGATCCTGGTCAGAGCAGTCGGTGGTAACCGGGTACCATCTAGCTGTACTGGACTCAGTCTGGTGGAGGCTGTGATAGCTGTGGTCCATTAGTCCTTTGGATTCATCTTGTCCTCCTCATTCTCCCTTCCTCCTGAAGGGTTGAGACCAGTGGAGTATCTTAGATGGCTGCTCACAGGCTTTTAAGACCCCAGACGCTACTTACCAAGGTAGAGTGCAGAACATTGTCTTTATAAAGTATGTTATGCCAATTGAGCTACATGTTCCCCAAGACCATGGTCCCCACAGCCCTCCGCCCAGCAATTCAGTCCCTCAGGGAGTTTGGATGTGTCTATGGAGCTTCCATGACCTTTCCTTGTACAAGTTGTGCTGGCTTCCCCAGTATTGTGTACTGTCTCACCCTTCACCCAAGATACCACTTATCTATTGCCTATTTAGTATTTCCTCCCCACCCCTCCCATCCCTGGTAACCAACAAAGATTGTTACTTTTTGTGTGTGAATTTTTTCATGGTTTTTACAATAGACGTCTCATACAATATTTGTCCCTCTGTGATTGACTTATTTCACTCAGCATAATGTCCTCCAGTTTCATCCATGTTATGAGATGCTTCACAGATTCATCGTTGTTCTTTCTCTTTGCATAGTACTCCATTGTGCGTATGTACCATAGTTTGCTTATCCATTCATCTGTTGCTGGGCATCTAGGTTGTTTCTGTCTTTTTGCTATTGTGAACAATCCTGCCATGAACCTGGGTATGCATATGTCTATTCGTGTGACGGCTCTTATTTCTCTAGGATATATTCCTAGGGATGGGATTGCTGGATCGTATGGTATTTCTATTTCTAGTTTTCTAAGAAGCGCCGTATCATTTTCCAAAATGGTTGTATCATTTTGCATTCCCACCAGCAGTGCATAAGAGTTCCGATCTCCCCGCTGCATCTCCAACATTTGTTATTTCCAGTGTTTTTGATCTGTGCCAGTAATGCTGGGGTGAGATGGTATCTTATTGTGGTTTTAATTTACATTTCTCTAATGGCTAGTGACTGCAAGCATTTCCTCATGTGTCTGTTGGCCCCTTGAATGTCGTCTTTGGTGA